TCATCATCAACAGGCTTATTAAAAAATTATTTATTTTCAGAATCCGTGGCAGCTCTATTTTGCCGATTGTGAGTTGCGTGAATGTATAAATCGTGACGTGGAACGGACGTTAGTTCCTATTTTACCTTAACGTATCTTCCTTTTTATGCGTTTTTTGCATCTATGCAGTGCAAAAACGCATATTGACTAGAAGTTGTCTGTGTATGTGCGTGTGTGTGTATGTCTGTATGTCTGTTTTCATTTCGAGACCGACAAAAGCTGCAAGGCTGAAACTTTGGGAACTTATTTTACATATCCCATTCCCAGAATGGCCGCTCTTACCCATGTGATTCCCACGTACATGCCCCTCAAAATTTTTGGCGGGTAAGTTGCTAACTCGGGGAGCACAAAAGTTAGAAGACTGTAATTTTAATAGGATCTTCCCCGGTTACAAAGGTCTTAGTGAGTACAAACCCAGCCACCAACTCGGGGACCAGAACAGCTAGAAAACTGGAATTTGGAGATGATGTTTTCTGACATTCTTAGCGGGCAATCTCAATTTTTTTAGCTAGAAGCATCTGCCGGAAAAAGCAGTGCCGTTGGCGATAAAAAACTACGGGAAACTACGCAAAAAACGCGTCTTCGCACCGGCAGTCGGTAGGCTGGTCAATTATTGTTACCTGTTTTTCTGTGTTACGCATATTGTGAGCATCAAATGACTGGACGTAGTTCATTGTAGGAGTTTTCACGTAACAAAAAATTTTCACTATATTTCCTGTTCATGCACCAAGTCTCTGCCAGGCCACTACGTATTGTATCTTAAATCGCCTTAAATCTCTTTTCCGTTTGATGAAACTTTGCTTGCAGAAAAAAAAAAATAAAAGATTTTCAGGTTTCCAGAGTTGCAATATTTCAAAGATAAGCAAGTGCGGAATATGATGTCTGATATTCTTTTTATATACGCGAAACAGCATCCCGATATCAGTTATAGGCAGGTGCAAACAGAAAATTTTTCCGACCCCCCCCTCCCCCCTCCCCCATCGCTTTTTAAATTTTTCATTGTTTTATCGCGCCCTTTATTTGCTGAAGAAATTCTTTTATTCAGAATTTCAGGGTATGCATGAAATCCTTGCGCCTTTGATTTTTGTACTGTATTATGATCAACAAGCGTGCGCTCATGTTATGGAGCAGGGAGGACTCGAGTAAGCCTCTTGGATGTTGCTTCGCATCTTGCAAAATGCAAAATCGCTGAGATGCTTAATTCTGTTAGTTAACAGCTTTGAAACTCAGAACCCTGGTATCTCTAAATCATTTCAGAAAATTGCCAGCAGAAGAGGTAGAAATACTTCGTGTGGTCAACAATCGGCATTTCCTAGAACACGATTCATTGTTTGTTTTTTTTCCTATTTTACTGAAAAAAAAATTTTTTTCCTCAAATTAAATCCTTCATTTTTTCTCTATTTGTAGGCATTTTGCAAATTCCGATTTGAATTTTTCGGTATCTTTCATTTCCATGCAGTTTCTTTTTATCCTTTTTTTGCATCTGCGCATTGCAAAAACACGCTTTGCGAAGCCGTTTCTATGCGTGTTTGGATCTGGATCTGTGTATCCGTGTATACAGACATTTTGCTCTTCCGATCTACGAAAGCTGTGAAGCTAAAAATTTGCCAACTTATTCTGCTACTATATATGAGATCTTGGTGATTTATACTTTTTCAGTATTTGCGATTGAGAAATTTCTGTATACGGTTGTAAGTGGTATTTTGTTTGCAGTGACATTTTCACGCAGCTAATGATGATGCTGGAACGCTGGTATATGGCTGGAGATGAGGGATTTCTAGGGCATTCTGCTGGCGATATTTCACGAAGTGGTGAAAAATTGATAAACGTAGCACCTTTTGCCGGTGAAATAAGCACAGATCCGATAAGTGAGCTTATTGTTAAGCTTCAGAGTATTATGGATGTCTTGGCTGTTGTTGATCCTGCGCTGCATAGGCATCTTTTGGATTTACAAATTCTGCCACAAATTTATGGAATGTAAGTTTTTTTCTCTTTTTTAAACATTTGTTTTTGAGCTGTTCTAACTGCCTAATACCTCAAAATGTGCGCCTGTATTGCGAGCCTTATTGTTCCGCTTTCATTTTTCCCTTGCGAAGATACAATTCAACATAATTGCGAAGATCACAGAATTTCTAAGTCTCAGAACAAATGAGTTTATTGTATTATATGTACGACACTTTTGCATGCTTCGGTGTTGGTATGCTTGGCAAACCGTGGAGCTTTTTGCCTAAAATGGTATCCCATGCTCAGAATTAAATTGAAAAAGTCGAATTTTTTTTTTTGAAATTTTTGTTGCCCGTAACTTTG